CACAGTCTGTGTCTATATGAACTCTCTCACACAGTCTGTGTCTATGTGAACCTCTCTCTCTCACAGTCTGTGTCTATATGAACTCTCTCCCACAGTCTGTGTCTATATGAACTCTCTCCCACAGTCTGTGTCTATGTGAACCTCTCTCTCACACAGGGATTTCCCGTGTGTGTCTATATAAACCTCTCTCTCTCACAGTGTCTATATGAACACCCCTCTCTCCCCCAGGTACTCTTCAGGAGTTGATCTCCCATACCATGGTGCACTGGGCTCAGGAGTCCTTTGTCCAGAACCCGGAGCTGGTGCGGCTGATGTTCAGCCTGCTGCACCGGCAGTACGACGGTCTGGGGGAGCTGATCCGGGCGGTGCCTAAGGCCTACATCATCAATGCCGTGTCTGTCCACGACACCATGGACCTGCTGGAGTGCCTGGGTCAAATCCGCTCACTGCTCATCGTGCAGATGGGCCCCGAGGAGGAGAGGCTGATGATCCAGAGCATAGGGTCTGTGTGCAGTTATACAGTACATATTCTGTACGGATGTAATGATATACATAGGATATAGGAGTGCTGTGCAGAAGTCTTAGACCCTCCTACCTCAGTAGTATTTCTCCATACAGAAAGTTATTGACCTGAAAGAACAGAGCAAAACAAAATGTTTGTTTTGAGCCATGGATATATTGTATACTGTCAGTTCCAACTCTCTTGTTACATTTTTATGCCTCTCGGTTTAAAATGCCTCTCGGTTTCTGCTGCTGCGACATTAAACCTGACTTTCCTCTCCCCTTCTCCTTCAGGAACATCATGAACAACAAGGTTTTCTACCAGCACCCCAATCTGATGCGTGCGCTGGGGATGCATGAGACAGTCATGGAGGTCATGGTCAATGTGCTGGGAGGGGGCGACTCCAAGGTGCTGGATCACTGTCTGTCTGATACACTGACCGTATCACCATCTCACTCTCTCACCGCCTGTCTGATACACTGACCGTATCACCGTCTCACTCTCTCACCGCCTGTCTGATACACTGACCGTATCACCGTCTCACTCTCTCACTGCCTGGACACACAGACTGACAGACTCTCAGCAGTGTCACTGCCACACTGACTGTCTCACTGTCTCACCTCTACTGAGTCTCAATTTCAGTTCATGAATCTTTATTGGCTTGACCAATGAACAAATCAGCGTTGCCAAAGCATATACAATTTACATAAAATTTACAGACATTTACAGTATAGACAAATCATAATACATTGACATACAAACATATGGAGCATTCAGCACTCTCTCATTGCCTGGACTGCCTGTCTCTCTGGACACTGTTTCACTGCCTCACAAATCTTCTAACTTCCTCACTGTTTCACTGACGTGCTTTAGTGTTCTCCTGTTCCGTTTTCTTTGTGACTTGACATCCCTCTGTCTGTCTCCCTCTCTCCAGGAGATCCGATTTCCCCGCATGGTGACCAACTGCTGCCGGTTTCTGTGTTATTTCTGCCGGATCAGCCGCCAGAACCAGAGGTCCATGTTTGACCACCTCAGCTATCTGCTACAGAATAGTGGGATTGGACTGGGTGAGATAAGGCTTTTTGAATCCCTGTGTTGAAACAGTGGTGAAATATGACGTTGTTTTCTGTGTTCTAGGGATGTGACTGTTGATTTTTGTTTATCTCTGCTGGCCCCGGCTGGGACGATGTTATACTCATGTGTCTTCATGTTGCCACCTGGTGGTGTGATTGAGTTTGGCTCTCTACATTGCAGGCATGCGTGGTTCCACTCCCCTGGATGTGGCGGCTGCCTCTGTCATCGACAACAATGAGCTGGCCCTTGCCCTGCAGGAGCAGGACCTGGAGAAGGTCAGAGACAGGGGGGAAGAGACTGAGGCAGGAAGAGGGATAGTTGGTTAGAGTAGGAGGCAAGAGATGGGAGAGAGAAAGGGAGAGACTGGGACAGTTAGTTCAGAATGAGAGGCAGAACGAGTGGAAACGTTCCATGGCTCCAATTCTCTCATGTCAGGTGGTGACGTACCTGGCAGGCTGCGGCCTGCAGAGCTGCCCCATGCTGCTGTCGAAGGGTTACCCCGATATCGGCTGGAACCCCATGGGTGGGGAGAGATACCTGGACTTCCTACGATTCGCTGTCTTTGTCAACGGTTAGTCCCCAGCTATCACCTTCTCTCTTGTCTTTTTACCTTTTCCTGCTTGTCTGTCTGCTGATCATTTCTGGGAAAGTGAATGTTAACGAGCTCAGCCTGTTCCACCACACAGGAAAGGAGAACCTTCTTAGCCACCGACAGCTGTTTCACCCTTATTAGCCTGGTCTAATGTAACAGCACTGTGCACCTATCTTTAAGTGTTTATCTGTCTGTCTCCTCTCCCCTTCTGTCTGTCTCGTCTCTCGCAGGGGAGAGCGTGGAGGAGAACGCCAACGTCGTTGTGCGCCTGTTGATCCGGCGGCCAGAATGCTTCGGCCCGGCGCTGCGAGGGGAGGGGGGCAATGGGCTGCTGGCTGCCATCGAGGAGGCCATCAAGATCTCGGAGGACCCCGCCAGGGATGGGCCCACCGTCAAGAAAGACAGGCGCTTCCCCATGTGAGTGAGGGAGAGGGAGAGCAGGAGGCGGGCAGTGCCCACCTCAGACAGTGGCCTTGTGTCTCATGCATTGTATTCCCGGTGGATCCAGGAGCTCAGCTATGGATAAAGTTATTGATACCCATAAACTGAGTCAGATATTGAGTTATGCTGAACTAGTCCATTGGTTGACCTTCTTAGAACCTGTAGGGATTCTGAATACTTGAATCAAATTCCTTTCTGATCTCCTGCATTGAAGACTTAACAGAATCGGTTCTTCCCAAACATGCTCTGTCCTTATTGTAGCATGCTGACAAAAACTATGTATTCAGTTAAGGGAGGTCTTAGTACTGTGCTGCACGCCTTCAGCTCTAGTCTCCAATGTTAAGTTCTCTTTTCACTGCAAACACATTGATTACAAATGGAGATACTGTACGTATTGGTTTAAGCATGTTGGGACTTCCCTCTCACCTTGCTGTCGACCTTTGAGGCCCTGCTCACACCTGCGTCTCGTGTTGACTGACAGGTTTGGGGGTGAGGAGCAGCATGAGGAGAACAGGGTGCATCTTGGGAACGCCATCATGTCATTCTACGCTGCGCTGATCGACTTGCTGGGGCGCTGTGCACCAGAGATGCATGTAAGTGAGGTGGAATATGTGGCGGTGGCAGTAAAACACTGGAGTATTGTAATTAAATGTATTCAGTTCTAATAAGATGCTCATTACAGTCTTGTGGTAACCTGGGAATGGTTGAGAAAGTGGGAAAGTTGTCAAAGCTGTTGAGAATATTTTCACATGCCACTGTGGCTAAGGATATTCACCTGTGGCTGGAAGGTTGCTGGTTCAAATCCCTTGGCCGGCAGAGGAATCCTACTCTGTTGGGCCCCAACTGCTCCGGGGGTGCCGTATAAATGGCTGACCCTGCGCTCTGACCCCAGGCTTCTCTTCCTGTCTGTGTGTCTCATGGAGAGCAAGCTGGGGTCTGCGAAAATACACATTCCCAATACAAGAAATTGTATCTCTCTTGTGGCTTCCTTGAAAATTAATATTTCCTTGACAATGGCCAATAAAGTGATCTGATCTTAAGAAAATTGTAAGCTTTGAAGGGTGAAGTATTGGGAAAGGGAGTCTGAGTGTTCTAGGAATGTTTGTTGTCTCTGTGTGCAGCTAATCCAGGCCGGGAAGGGTGAGGCTCTCAGGATCCGAGCGATCCTGAGGTCTCTGGTCCCCATTGAGGATCTGGTTGGAGTGATCAGCCTGCCTGTGCAGATTCCTTCGTTTGGGAAAGGTGAGTGATGGGGAAAGTGAGGAAGAGAAGCAACAAAGAGAGAGAGAGCAGGGAGAGGATGAAAAATACTGAAGCAGACAGGGACAAGAGTAAGGAATTGGAAAGCGGAGGAGAGATGGGATGTAGGGAAAATGGGGGGGGGGGAGCACAAAAGAGGGATAGGGAAAAGTAGGGATAGATACAAGGAGGAACAGTAGATAGAGACAGACAGTGAGAAGGAAACAGGCTGAAAGCAATGATGCCAGATGTAAATGAGAAGTCAGCTCCTCAGCCCACCCCTGTCTCTCCAGATGGTAATATAGTCGAGCCAAAAATGTCGGCCAGTTTTGTGCCGGACCACAAGGCTCCCATGGTGCTGTTCCTGGACCGTGTGTACGGCATCGACAACCAGGACTTCCTGCTGCACTTGCTGGAGGTCGGCTTCCTCCCGGACATGAGAGCTGCTGCCTCTCTGGACACGGTGAGACTGGATTGAATCAGTGTCTGTGGGTGTCTGTGAGTCTCTACAGTGTGTGTGCTGTATCGAATCTGTGAGTCTCTACAGATCGTGTACTGTATCGACTGTGTGAGTCTCTACAGTGTGTGTGCTGTATCGAATCTGTGAGTCTCTACAGATCGTGTACTGTATAGAATCTGTGAGTCTCTACAGAGTGTGTACTGTATAGAATGAGAGTCTCTACAGTGTGTACTGTATAGAATCTGTAAGTCTCTATAGTGTGTTTATAGAATATGTGTGTCTCTACAGTGTACTGTATGTATCATCTGTGAGTCTGTAAATGTGTATACAGTATGTTTCTTTGTCTCACTGAGAGCTGCTGTTCTCCTCTCCTCTCTAGGCGGCGTTCAGCACCACAGAGATGGCTCTGGCTCTGAACCGCTACCTGTGCCAGGCAGTGCTGCCCTTGCTCACCAAGTGCGCCCCCCTGTTTGCTGGAACTGAGCACCGCGCTATCATGATCGACTCCATGTTGCACACCATCTACCGTCTCTCCAGGGGGCGGTCTCTCACAAAGGCTCAGAGGGATGTCATCGAGGACTGCCTCATGTCACTCTGCAAGTCAGCTGGCTCTCAGTCTCTGTCTTTATCGCTCTCTGTCTCTGTCTTACTGTGCTCTCTCTTCTAAATTCAAATATGGTGTTTGAACTTTGTTTGTTTTTTTTCAAATATGGTTTATAACCATAGAAAAGCTTCCAAAGCAATTATGCAATACACTCAAAGTTACAAAGTTTTAATAAGTGTATCTGTCTTTTGTTTTTGTCTGAATTTCCTGTTTCTATATTTGTCTTTGATTGTCTAACTGCTTCTGTCTGATTTTCTCATTTTGTCTAACTTTTATGTCTTTATATCTCTCCCTGTCTCCCTCCCTTTCTGTCAATCTTTCTCTCTTTATTTTTTGGTTGCATTCTTTAATGCTTTCTGTCTCTGTTCATTGTGTGTGTGGTCCCTGACACCCAGTGTATCCAGCCTATTTACTATTTACTAAACCCAGCATAGTACCTCAGTCCCAGTCTTCCCTGTACAGTAAAGGATCTCAGCTCTAGTATGCCCAATACAGTATAGGCCCACAGTCCCAGTCTGCCCAGTACAGTATGTCTGCCAAGTATAGTAGCTAAATCACTGTCTGCCCAGTACCGTACAGTACCTCAGTCCCTGCCTATCCAGTACAGTACCTCAGCCCCAGTCTCTCTGTTCTCAGGTATCTCCGGCCCTCCATGCTACAGCATCTGCTCCGTCGGCTCGTGTTTGATGTGCCAATCCTGAACGAGTATGCCAAGATGCCACTGAAGGTGCCGCACTCTTCTGTTATTATGTACAGTAGTAGCAGTTTTAGCAACAATGACACTATACTAGTAGCTAAAGTAAAGGCAGTGGTAGTATCAGCAGTAGCAATAGCTGTATTATTGGTATTAATATTATTTTACCATTAATAATATTTGTAATTATTTCAAAAATGGTCATTATATATATATAGCCCAGTGCCCTAACCACTACACCACACTCCACTTTCTTTCTTCTAGTTGTTGACCAATCACTATGAGCGCTGCTGGAAGTATTACTGTCTCCCAAATGGCTGGGCAAATTATGGAGTCTCCTCAGAGGAAGAGCTGCATCTGACCCGAAAGCTGTTCTGGGGAATCTTCGAGTCACTGGCACACAAGGTGGGTTGTCCACTCCAATTCCAAATGATTGCAGCAGTCGGAACTAATTGTTAGTAATAGCAGTAATCCAGAATGACAGCAGCAGTCAGGATGATTGTTAGTGACAGCAGTAATCCAGAGTGACAGCAGCAGTCAGGACTGATTGTTAGCGACAGCAGTAATCCAGAGTGACAGCAGCAGTCAGGACTGATTGTTAG